TTTTTTTTTTTTTTTTTGAAAGACTATAGTACTAAGCATATTATAATACTAGTACATAAGAATTCTTATATATTAAAAATTTAATCTAACCTAAATTATAAGTTTAAACTTGACAATAACATAGAAAATTATATTTAGAAACTATGTTAATCACAAAGTAAATGTAATAATGAATATAAATGATTTTCATTTGCAAAACATTAAATCTACATTATATTGCTTATATTGTGTCGCTTATGTTATACTTATTATTATATATAATACTAAAATATGAATTATACATATAAAGTGATATTATTATTTGTTATGAACTACATACTCCATTTTCTGCTTTCTGCTTTTTATATTTGTCTATAATTAAATTATAAATGTATTTAACTACACTACTTGATATGATAGTTAAATATATTTTGTCTCTGCATTTTTATAATTCACAGGACTTGGCAGTGTTTATCTATAATTAATGACTTATGAGAAAAAGAGATTCAGTTACAATGAATTTGATTGCAAGAATATTCATAAATACAATAACAATATAAATTCGACAAAAGAAAAACTCAAGAGATCTGAGATATGAATTATTTAAGCACGTTCACCACGAATTCTTCTTGCTAACTGAATATCTTTAGGCATTATTGTAACACGTTTAGCATGAATTGCACATAAATTTGTATCTTCAAACAATCCAACTAAATATGCTTCAGAAGCTTCTTGTAATGCTCCAATTGCAGCACTTTGAAATCTTAAATCAGTCTTGAAATCTTGTGCAATTTCACGAACTAAACGTTGAAATGGTAATTTTCTAATCAGCAATTCTGTTGACTTTTGATATCTTCTGATTTCTCTAAGTGCTACAGTACCAGGTCTATAATACATAAAATTATCAAAATTATAATAATAATTCATTATAATATAATTAAATTTATAATATTTTTACCTATAACGATGTGGTTTTTTTACACCACCCGTGGATGGTGCACTTTTACGTGCAGCTTTAGTTGCAAGTTGTTTTCTAGGAGCTTTACCTCCTGTTGATTTACGTGCAGTTTGCTTAGTACGTGCCATATCTATAAAAAAAATTATTGTTATAATATAAAATTATTTATTTTAATATAAATAATTTATATATAAAATATTCTTAAAAAATCAATATT